AAACAAAACAATGTCATTACTGAAATAGATCAAGATTTGTTATCACACACTGTACAAAATCTTATTTTTGAGAATTTATCTTTTATGAAAAATTGAAAATATGACGTTTCCTGCTATTTTAAATCTCATTGTTGTCAAAGTTGACAAGAGGATTTATATAAGAGATTGTCATCTCACTTACCTTAGTCTTTTTTTTTAATACCAGACAACAGTGATATTTATGCAGAATTTTAAGAGTTTTAATCTAACATAGTAAGGAAATTGTTGACATATCACCTGTAGCAGTCTCCAGTGAACTAAGCATGTAGCATAGCATTTCTGTGGATGATCATTGCCACTCAGAAAATCATCAAGTGCATGTCAGAGGTATGCGTAAGCAGCTTATTTTTCCTCAGCAGCATTAGAGGAGTGTTTTAGGGGTGGTAATATGTTTTATCAACCCTGAGAAACTTGTCCTTCTTTTGTTATACACTTGATTCCCTTTCGCTGTAGGTAACTAAGGGGTAAGAAAGTTGTGATTTCCTTTGCAATGTTAAACAAGTAACACCTTTGAATTTCCTGAGTCAGGAAGTTGAAAAAAATATTTCAAATATAAAATGTTATTTAACAAATCACTATTCTTGAGTATTTCTGTGTATAAGTCAAAGCCCAAATTTTAGGTGTTATTAAATATTTGAAACTAGGCAAAAACATTTATTATTTCTTTTTTAGGTAGCAAGAGAATTATATTTTAATATAAACAGTTCATTATATTATGAGAATATGAAGCCCTCATAATGTATTGTTATTTTACAATTAATTGTCCTATTTCAGTTGTCTAAAGTCTCTTTATAAAACTAGGTCAAAGTCTTTTTTACTTCAACTTTATGACCTTTCAGCTTTGTAACTGAAATGACTCCAAATTAACTAAACAATCACTTCTAAATTTCCTGGGAAATTATTACTAAATTTACAATTTCCTGAGAAACTGCTCAGAAAAAAAGTGGGGATATCAAAGGGCTCTTTCCAGGAAGGTCCTCCAAAGCTCAGATGGGGACCTCAAATCAATCATAGCCATTTAGGAAAAAAAAAACAATTTTTGAGATGCATCAGTAAGAGGAATAAAGAGCTTTATTGGGAAGAATTTTAAAAGTACACACTTCAAGAGAATAGACTGCAGGGTTTCAGAAGAAGCCCAGCATAGCCTATAGTGGAGTATATTTCAGTGGTCCTAGGGGTGTCTTCAAGATGAGTATTCTATGATGTGTGCGTGTATTTCTACTGTCTGTTGGGTTGCTCTTGTGTCAGGTTATGTTAGAACAAAAAACATATGCCTATGTTTGAAAATATGTTTGAAAAGGCACTGGCTATCCAACAGTGCCTTTCTGTAGGATGAAAGCCCATAGGCAGAAACATAATCAACAGCTAAAAAACACAGGACCATGGCCTGGTTTAGGAGCTTATTGTGTCTTTAAGATCCTTAAGAATTTTTGTTTTTCCTTCCTCCTTTCCTTTTTTTCATTCCTCCTTTTCTTTCCCCTTCTGCTTGCTTTATTCCCTCCTTCTATCTGTGTCTCTGTCTCTATATCTATCTCTATCTCTATGTCCCTTTTTTTAGAGAATTTCCTAGAAGTAAACAAGCTTTGAGTAATATTTGTATTCTGAAACAATGTTTTGCTTAAAATACAATTTTAAAAAATGATTGTCCCTGTTTATTTTCTACTTAGCTTTATTTTTATGTCCTATCCTAAATTTAACTATTCTACCTTACATTATTTAATAAAATTAAATAATTGTAATGTTTAATGCATCCTCAAATGTGAATGTGTGTGTTTGTACTCATGTGGTGGGCAAGGGATAGCTTTGTATGAAACAATGAATAATCAGTGGTAGTACTTTCAGTTAAGGGCACATTTATGTTATCTACTCAAATCCCAGTCCCTCATGGGTGGACAAGGTTCATGTAATCTTGCCACGTCTCAACTTTTTATTTCTGATAATGAGCATAGTGGAAACCCTTACTAATGACAACCAAGATATAGATCAGCCACTGATAGCATAATAGCCTGGTTTAATCAGAGAGATGTGAAAAGCTAAATAGAGATTGAGATAAAGTTGATGTTGTTCCTTTGAATTAGATAAAAGTGCAGTCATGTCACTGTGAGTATGGAATGAGCGAGAGGGAGGGAGGAAAAGGCAACATAGGAGATAGGTGAGGAGATTTTTATTTATAGGAGATAGAGAAAAACAATGATAAGAAAACATACAGCCTCTGAGAGACAGAAGAAGACTTTCTTAATAGTAACAAATGCAGTTAGGCAGTTTTGGACTTTTGTTAACTCTGTAGATTAGCAGAAAGTACATGCAGAAAGTGGGCATGTATGTAAATGTGAGTGTGAGTGTGTGTGTGTGTGTGTGTGTGTGTCTGTATCTGTCTATCTGTAAGAGATTTCTTTTTAACTGAAATTCTAGTCTTTAAAGCTGACGGGAGGCTATGACAAACAATATTTATAGATATAACACAGATCTGAGAGCTAATCAGAATCTCTCCTTTCCTCCAGAAACTTATCACCTGCACTCTCAGCTCAGAACAGAATCTAATTGTGTCTTATTCCAAATCATTTATAACTGTGGACAGCAGATACTTCTTGCAGGGCCTGCAGCCAATTAGCATCACGTACAAATTGGCATAACTAAACTTTACACGTATTAACAAAGAAGATTTATGGGAAGATGAAATTATCTCTTGTGGAACACTTCCAGAGATGCAGTGTCAGCATTCCCTTTTGGCTTTCTTGTGTGCCTGGACACAAGTTTTATGCCTGTTCCTCCCACACACTTCCTGTCTTTTCAGTGGTGAGAAGATTACTTACCCTGTTTTATGGCCTCACTTCACTAACTAGGGGAATTCTCCTTGCCTGACAGATATCAAGTCAGTGAACCACTGAAAAAATGTCTTTGGACAAGGAAACTTTCAGGGAGAATGCAAAGTAACCCATGGCGCTGGTTAGACCTGCATAAAGCACTCGCCCTGCTTTGTTTTCTACTAAGTTATTATAGGGAGCTTTTTTTTTTTTTTTTTTTTTTTTTTTTTTTTAGTAAACTGTATAGTAGAAACATTATTTGCTCTTTCTTTGATTGTATGACCAACATTTTCAAGAACGGTTGCTTAGTGTATGAGCAGAAAGATAATTTCTAAGAATAACAGAAGTTTTCTCAATTCACAGTTTTCCTCAGTTAGTATATATCTGAACATTCTGGTCCTCCCCGCTGCCCACTAGCTTACAATGATGTGCCCTTGACTTTAGCAAAGTTCTTGGGAATGTGCAAAAAGCCTTTGAGGGATGGTTTAACTTTTTTCCCTAAGGATGTGATACAGGTATTTACTTATTGCTTATCTAATCCAATATTATTTCTTCTAAAGATAAAAAGCATATTCCATATCTTACCTACACTTTACTTCTATTTAAAAAATATTGTTTGATAAATATTGGAGGAAGTGAGTACTCAAAAATACTTGCTTAATCAATAAATTAATTAATTTTAATAAAGAAATTTTCTAACATGCTAGAAACAGCATTGACTATAATGACCAGTGACCATATATGGTCCTTCATTTCTGGAAATGGAAGTACCCATGAAACACCTAAAAATTAAAATCTTAGACACATATAAAAGATTTACTAATACTTTCAAATTTCATTAACTGCAATAAGAAGAGGAATAACATTACTACTAATGTTCATGTTTATAGTAATTCTAAAATTTTTTAATAAAAACTATTAACAACAATTATAAATATTCATATTGTTGCTTTGGTGGGAGTATTCATATCTGAACTTATTCCTTTAAATGACTGTATCCAAGAAAGATTTGCAAATACGACTATGTGAGTGGAGTCAACTAAAAATACATATCAACAATATAGCATATGTGGGTGAGACAGACGCATAGCTCTCACCACTGTGCATATAAAAAGTTAATCTGTGTGTACATGACCATATTCCTTTGAGTCATACATGGGAGGTTTGACTCAGTTATTTTCTGATTGAATCTTGCTTTCCAACATGACTCTTAGGAATTCACCCACAGTGTTTTGAGGATGTTTACACGCTCCCTACTTCATTTCCATTCTGTCCTCCACCTCCTCTTTCTATTTCTCCTCCTCCCCTTTTTAGAAAACTGCAGTGTAATTTCAAGATAAGCACATATTCTGATGGTCACAGGCACAATTGCAAAAAAGGAAAAAAAAACTTCCAGTGCCTTAAATAAAACTAATCTGTTGTAGTTACTGTGATATTGTTAGCTGTTTTCAAATGATGGTAAAATACAAAAGTGCTATAAGCTCTTTTCTACAGCTAAGACACTGATCTTGCAAATAAAATTCTAGCTGCAAATACTCGTGCACTGAGAACTATTTTTAACAAAGCAGCAGAGCTCAAAGGCACTTCAGATTTTACCTTTTCTAAGAAGCTAAATCTTTGACAGAATAATTAATGAGCACCAGTTATAAAGAGTGAAAAAATATAATTTTAAAAGTGTTTTAAATATAATACAGTTTCAAGTTTACATTTGCATCTGATGAGTCAGAAAATATTTAGTATACAAAAAGGCAACAATGTTGAAGCAAAAAATTTCAGTGTTTGAATTCTTTGATGTTAAAACTAATGTGAACTGATAATATGATAACAAGGAAGATTTTTAGATTTCTAGACTTCAAATGATGGATAGCCCTAATATATGAAATGATATGACAAAAAATTATACAACTGATTGTATAATTTTTTGTCATATCATTCCTTTGATAATCAAAGGACTTTAGGGAACCCCATTGATCAAAAGAAACTCTCAAAAATAATCTGAATATTAAATTGGAAGTTCATGTTAATAATCTATTTTCAGATGAGTAGTATACCATTTGTAACTTTCAAGACGATGATATCGTCATCTGAATTATTGTATTGTCAGTGATGTTAAATTTAATATTAACAACCTGAGGTTTATATATTTAACACTTGCAGACATCCAATGACACCTTTGAAATTCCCCTCATGTTGACTGGAAATGTAGTGTTAAGGAAGAGACTCAACTACGAAGATAAGACTCAGTACTTTGTCATCATTCAAGCCAATGTGAGTATTAAATTTCTTTTATTTTTCTTCCATGAACTTATGATATAAAGAACACATCCGAATGTATTCAGTTCTCTTCAAGTGCTTACCATGATTTATTTTCTTAACAGAGTTCTCTGCCAATAGTGGGATTTCTGTATTTTTCTAGATGGGAAAATAGATGGGAGAGGGCTGGGGACAGACATGTTTTTATTCACTGTATTCTTTACCCTCTAAGGCACCCTCTTATGTGGTCTCTACAAGCCAGCTATGTGTTTAGCACAATCTGAAATATTTTTCAAAGTCCTAACCATGAAAAGATGACAGCAGAGTCCCCTTGGAGGCATATTTAAAATTCAGGTTTTTCTGGATCTTGTATCAGAAATTCTGAATAAAAATCTTGGAGGATTGAAGTGAACTACCTATATTTCCGTTGCTATGCAAAATAGTTCCGCTTTTACTGGATACGTAAAAATCACTTACTTTTGGATTTCAACCTGTGTAAAGTAACTTTGTTTATCTCCCTCTCCCCTTACTTCTGTTTCCTACTTATTTGTGGAGTAAGTAGTAATTCAAAGCTGCTTGTTTTTATTTCTGCCAGTGTTTTCAGTATTTTCTTTCTGGACAGCTGGGAAGAATGGGAAGGTAGGGTGTCATGGTTGAAGTAAACAAAATATTTTGAATGTTAGACTAGTCAAGAGATGTAAAATAAGCTCATATTTCATCAACTGGTATGCATAAAAATGAGATAAATTACATCAACATTTCTAACAAATAAAACAACTGTAAAAAAAAAAAAGACCCCTCTTAGAATAGTTTAGGACAAGACAATTTTGTGGCTCCTATTTTCCTTCTTTAAATGTCAAAATATAAGAGAATCAAGTTAGTTAGATTAATTTTCAAAATTTCAAACAGTAATACTGCATTGATCCCTAGTTAGCAGAAGCAAGAGAAATACTTCTATGGTTTTTGGTAAGCCATTTGGTGTCAAAAGACTCAGAGCAACTCTAATTATGTTGTGCTTTCTTTTTTTTTTTTTTTTTTTTTTTCTGTCTCAACTGCAAATACCTGATAAAGTAATGAAAGAGTATTTAATGTATGTATCTGTCAATGAGACTGTTACATACTTCTAGCCATTTTGGTAAACTACAAGCTACTTTAGCATGAAATATTTATAAGTCTATCTCAAGCATTTAGATATTTAGAAGTCTATCTCAAGCATTCCATGACATTGCCTTAAAAATAAATCAGAAAAGAATCAAGTGTGTCGCACATTCATTTTAAAATCAGGTTTCATATTGTTTATCAGAGTCTACAGTTTTCCTGGTCCCATCTGGCACATGAACATTTGTTTAATCATAAAGCAGATACTAAGTGATGGGCAGTAGCACTTGTTTCCAGATTGATCAAAGAATAAATAATTAAATAATTTACAACAAGAAACTCAATTGAGATGAAATCTCAATTACCATCTAAAATTAGAAGTGTTTAGTCACAACATTACTATAGTTTAAATATTTAATCTTATATAAAGTAGTGGTTTGTAAAGAGTATTAGCATTGTAGGTGGGTCTACTCTTATGATAACATTTATCCTTAAATTATTATTTATATAACCATACAGGATGTTAGGTATACATCATGTGAATTTTGGAGGAACATAGTTTATTTCATACACTAGTTTAACTTGATAACTTTTAAAAGATATTCTTATTTTTCAATTACAGCCATAGTTTTGTAACACAATAAAATATTATCTGGGTTTTTAAAATTTTATTTAAAGAGAAAAAAAGCAAAACAGAAAAAAAGGGTAGAACAATACAGAATTCAAAAAAAAAATCCACTAAGAAATCACTGGTTGATCTAATAATAGTTGTTCAAGTTACAAAATTAAAGCACACAAAGTGGGCATTCAAACAGTGAGACTGCAAACAGTTCTGCTCAATGACTCAACAAAAACTTAGTAATATAGTTATTTATCTTACACACTTATACATGCAGTTATATTCTTTAGAGCACTTTCTTTTCCTCTCTTTTTTACAATAGCAATTACACATTTTGGGTTTTATTACTCTTATAGTTCTTATTACTTTTTACCCTAAAATCACAATGTGATGTTTATAAATATGGTTCTTATTTATTTCATTAATGAGATGCTGGGGATTTAGCTCAGTGGCATAAAGCACCTGCTTTGCAAATGTGTGGTTGTGAGTTTGACTCCCAGTACCTATAAAAACAAACAAACAAACAAAAAACTAGCAAATAAACACAAAAAAACCCCAAGTCGTCTAATTTCAGCTAATATATCATCTGTTTTTAACGTTGTCAATTTTTAAAATTTTATTTTATTCTAACAAAAGAAAGAATGAAAATGTGGAGGGAAATTTCAAAAGCAGATAGGAGAAAGTTTTCTGGTTAGCTTTTACTATACATTGAATTTTCACTTAGAAATGAATGAAAACCCAAGCTTAATGGAATCATATATAATATTTAGGCAAATAATTGTTTCATCTGCTGTTCTTGTCATATCTTTAACAAAAAAGATACTGATCTGCTCATGTAATCTACCAAGTAATTACCAAATACCTCTCTCAAAGGTGGCTAATTTTAGTGAGATAAAGCAAGCGCACAGATTTCTTTTCATCTGTTGACTTTGTAATATATTGCATTTGAGACAATCCTTATATCAACTCTAGATGTTTTGAATGGAAGATTAAAATTTAAACACTACTTCTTTTTTGCCATGATTTAATCATAATCTATCACATAATGTATCAAAGGATAAAAAGAACGCAATTATAAGGTTTTACATTTCTGATAAGGGTATGCTTGGAAATTTCCACCCATAAAGATTTCTTCTTTCTCAGCCTTTCCTTTAATTAAAATCTCTGTTTATCAGTCTTATTGGGAAACAGCATAACTTTAAAAAGGTATTACCCAAAGATTATGAAAGAAGTTTGTTTCTTTTTTCTTTTTTTAATTGGTAGTTGACAGTTAAGTATTAATGTCTGGTAATTGTCCCATAAAAATTTTTAACAGCACTAAATAAAAAAAACTAATCTGTTAACATAATCATTTTTTAAAAATATTAATTGAGGTATCACCATAAAATAAATTAAGCATTTTAGTGGTATATTATGTGATTTTATCAGTAGCATATTTGCAGTGTTGCACATGACTACTTTTCGTTCCAAACTTGTCTGTCACTTCAGAAGGAGTTAGCAAGCACTGTCACAGATGGAGTCTAAGGCAGTCTCTTAAAATGAAGCGGTGACTGTTGTAGAAAAATCATTTTCAGAGTGCCTCAGTGAGAAGCACAAAAAAGTTTACTAGTTAGCATTAATCAAGTACAAACTCAGCACTAACAAAGGGGGACATTACCGTCTTGTTACTGGCTTTTGGGACTCCATAGAAATTCTGTTCTCTGTCTTGGTGTCCTGAAAAATGAATTGGACAAGATACACAAAAGGTTGAAATATTTACTCTTTTACAAGTTGGTGGTGGGGGAATGTATGCTCTTCTGAGTTAGAGTGAGCCTTGGGGAAGGTTGCAGTGGTCACAGAGTGAATGGTGAGGGTCTTTTGTATCTACAGCTCCTCTCCTGACTTGAGACCTAGGCTCTCATATCAAAAGTCTGCTAGGTTTCACATCAGCTATGAATAAAGAAATGAAGATAGCACTTTCTGACTGGTCCCAACTGGAGAGTTTGAAGCCTGTGCTTTGGTTCTCTGTGATTGACAGATCATGCACCCTGCACAGCTAGCATATCTGGCTTTAATCTCCTATCTCAGAAACAGGTTCTATGACATTAACATACTATTCTCAAGAGACATCCTGAGGTAGTATACACAAGTTCCTCATCCTTATCCATTCATATTTTGGCTTTTGATACCTTTTGACTTATGTGAATGTACTATGATTAATATTTTTGCAGTATAATTTCTTTTTTGAAGTTTGCAGAATAGAATTTTAAAGAGACAATAGAATATTTTTCAATATAACCAATATAACCTCACCAATGGAATCAAAATTGTCATCAGTGATGAATCATATTAATGATACTCATGGGTGGCCTTGCTAAAATGAAATGAAAATATCACTTTGCTTTTATAGTTTTTTCTCCCTAAAATGCATAATCACAGTTTAGTGATGAGGAAAATATTACACAACACTCCATTGAAAAACATTGTGTAGAGTATCTGACAAATACAATTGTCAAGATCATCAAAAGAAGATAAACAAATCTGACAAATTGTAACACCCAAAAGGAGCCTAAAGAGACATTATGACTAAATGCAAAAGGCTACCTTGGTTGAAATGTTTGAGCAGAAAACAGACATTACGTAGACATCAAGAAAATCTAAACCAAATAAAGAAAGAGTTTTAGTTATTAGCAATGTATATATCGTTAAGGCAAAATTGCACTATAGAAATGGGTGGAGAATATTATAAAGAAGGTAAGTGGGCAGAGAATATTGTAATTATAAAGAAAAAGCAGACAAAGAGCTAGAAGCTGTAAAAAGGTATGGTAAGGTTTTGTGTGTGGAGGTGAGGACGGGTAGAGGCAAGGAATCACCAACATGGCATACGTGCTTACTAATTAACCTTTTTAAAGGAAAACTAAATTTTCCTCTGTATTCATGACAGCAAATGGTTGTAAAACTTTCAGCAAGTGTCTTAGGCATTCAGGTTCCAACTCTTCCACAGAGACTGAGTAGAAACCTCAGGCTGTTAACTGTCACCTTGTAAAGTTTTGTACCCTGGTGATTAAACGAAACAGCCCTGCATTGTGAAACTTGACAAAAACCTTCCCTGCCTTATCCTAACCAAAAGTACTAGGGATTGAAACCATGGCCTTCAAGTTCAGCTGGATCCCCAGCCTTTTATTTATTATTTTTTTCCAAATTTTGAAACAGGGTCTTTATAAATTTCTAGATTGCTTAGTTAGCTAGGGTGGTCTGGAACCTTGAATCTTCCTGACTAAGTCCTCTCAACTGCTAGGATCATAGATAAGACGTCTACCACATTCAGCTGCAAAGGATTTTTAATCCTAGAGTGGCTACTGCTGTACCTTCGGAATGCCCTTACAACACAAAATAAAGAATATACAGAAACAATGTCCTTTTCTTCAAATCCTTTTCTTGTTTTGTTATTTATTTATTTATTATGACAGAATCTCATTATGTGGTTCAGTTTGGCCTTGAAACCACTGTGTAGGCCAGGCTGGTCTCAGACTTTCAATATTCCTCTTGCCTCAGCATCTCAAGTGCTGGATTACAGACATATATTATTATACCTGGCTTCTCTTCAAATTCTTGTTTCTTGAATTTTTCCTAAGCAATATATATGAACTTCATGCAAAAATTCAAAAATTGCAATCTTTGGCTTAAATGGCACAAATGAGTTACAAGCTTTGCCTCTCAAAGGAGCAGAGGAGGAGTTTACATTAACTAGGTTACCAAGTAAATGCTCTAAGAAGAGAAAAGATCTACCTTTTTTGTAGGATCACTTGGATTATGTGGGGACCAGGGTGAGAAGGAGAGAAAGGGCCTGGAGAGAAAAGATAATCTTCATAGAGTTTAATCTAGCAGAGAAACAATGAAGATATTTTAATCAATAAGCTTTTCTCTTTCATGGTAACAATTGTGCCATGCTAATGTGAGATTTAATAATAGAGTTGACTGACCTGGGAGTACAGAGGAGCTCTATGTACTAGTTCCCCAATTTTTCCATACATTTAAAACTATTTCAAAAATTTAAAATATGCTTTAAACTGGGTGTTGTGTCATATGCCTGTAAGGCCCATTGCTTGGAAGGCTGAGGCAGATGGAAAGAAACTTTGAAGGCAACCTGGGTAACTAAGCAAGATCCTATCTCAAATCTTTAAGAAAATGTTCTGGAGATTTGCTTCAGTGCTACAGTGTCTACACAGCATTTAAGATACCCTACATTTAATTCATAGCACCTCAAAAAATACTGAAAAATTAGCGCAATGCACAGGAACAGATCGTAATAGGTATGTAATTTCTTCTTAATTTTGAAGACAAAAAGATTCCATTAATCCCCAAATCAGTATTTGATTAAAAATTAGATTCTTTGTATAATCTGTTTCAAAAGACTTCATGAAACAAATTCTCAAATATTGTCAATTTGATTAAATATTAGATTTTTCGTATAATCTGTTTCAAAGACTTCATGAAACAAATTCTCAAATATTACCAATTTACCACTGTAAAGCTGAGAAATGGCCTAACATATAAAAGTTTACCTACTACGACATACAGCCAAGACAGCAAGTTTGAAGACTAAGTGGATTTCAGTTAACATTTTATGTTCACCATCTCAAATTTTTGTTTAAACAAGTTATTATCCAATCATTTAAATAAAGGAAAAAGGTAAAGGAAAGAGGTCACTGTGTATCTAGTATTTATAAGTCATGCCATTTTTTTGATTTTTTTTTTTTTTTTCTCTCCCAGGACCGAGCACAAAATCTGAATGAAAGGCGAACCACCACTACCACCCTCACAGTGGACGTCCTGGATGGAGATGACTTGGGCCCAATGTTTCTTCCTTGTGTCCTTGTGCCAAACACTCGGGACTGTCGTCCACTCACCTATCAAGCCACCATACCCGAGCTGAGAACTCCGGTAAATATATTCTCATCATTTCCGTTTCCTTCAATCTTCTGTAATCCTATTGGATCCTCCTGAGAGGCACTGCAGTTGTCTAGTTGCAAAACTAACCAGACAAATGTAAAAATGTTCACACAGTAATGTCTCAGACTATTTTCAAAGAGTATCAGTAAATTTTTATCACAATACATAATTATATCACTTACACAGTAACAGCATACCAAGGAGCAACAATCCCTTTAATGCTGATTATTTTAAATGTTTTCCTACTAATAAATCACAGCAGAATTCAGTTGCTTCTATACTTTGGAAAACTCCAAGAATTAACCTCTGAATTTTTCAAAGTTCACATATATATAAGCCATTCAAACTCAGTGAACATAAAGGCCAACAGTATAATTTTTAGTCAACTATAGTTCAGAAATTTATTGGAGATTATGCTTGGCTGTTAGAATTAGGACCTAACATATGTAGGATTCAAATACCCATCCTTTAAAGATACATTCTAAAGAGGTAGAGGTGAAGCATGTATGCTTATTTTTAGTGTTCACTCCTGAATTTTAACAAATTCTAACAGAGCTATAATTCTTTTCAGTATGAAATTCACATCTTGTTGCTCCCTGATGAAAGATGTGTAAATGTAAGACAAAAGAATTGTAAAGCAAATAGATATCCTGCTGAGACTAATATAGCAACTTCTCTCCTAAAAGAGAATATATAAAATTCTATTTCAGGGAAGTCAAATTTCTAGGACTCAACTGTTACACTGTTTTCCTCTTCTCCTTCTGCTTCTCCTTTTCCTTGTCTTCCTCCTCCTCTTTGTCCTCCTCCTCCTTTTCGTCCTTCTTGGTTTTTTTTTTTTTTTTTTTTTTTTTTGTTTGTTTGTTTGTTTTTTTTTGATTGGTTTGGTTTGGTTTTTCCTAAAAAGTATTCAGGTCTTTGTGTTTTCAATGCATTTCCCAATGTCAGAATTTGTTGGGAAGTATTTGAATTTTTTTCTCAGAATGTATGAGAGATGGTTTTCATTGTTATATTTATATCCTGAGATTTTGAGGAAAAAAAACAAAAATGTCTTTTCTGAAATTCATTACTATGTAATATTTTATTCACTTCAATGTTCTTGTTCAGTGTTGCATGTGTAGGTTTAACCATAGTAGATTTTAAATATATGAAAATCACTCCGAGTCTATTAGCATAAATGATAGCTAGTTATGTTGATTTGCAGGGGGAAAGCTGAAGAAAAAAGCATCATTACAAATCTAATGATGTGCAGTGAATGAAGATGGTACTATGCATTTTTTGCTAAATGAAGTGATTTTGAAGACAAAAAAGCTAGTCAGGATTTTTCTGAACAAACAGATCTGTATTACCCAAATTCATGTCATGATCTTACTTTGTGGAATCTGCATAAGAAAACTGCTAAGGATGATTAAATTTTCCTGCTTTAATTATAGAAGGATGCATGATAAAACAGTTATCTTTGATACTAGTTTGTTTATGTGCTAATTTATGTACTTAGTATACCTATGAATCCCTGAGAGAAAGAACCTATTGTAATCACAATAATTAAATTAAGTGAATCAATCCAATGACTATTTAACAGTACTCGGTGAACTTAGAAGTGTAACTAGTGATTAGGCTGCTACTTAACAGTCAGGGTATACTGACTTAATTTTCAAAGGATCATTAAGCTTTCTCTTCTATTTCAGGTTATTGACTGAACATGTCTTTCATTATGATGGGACTTGGGTTATAATACAAATTATAATAATATATATAACTTTCATAGAGAATGTACAGTTTGTTGGGAGCGGGAAATTATGTTAAACTCTACACAGTATCAACTGTTTGACTATATACAGAAATTTTTTGCTTTTCTTTTTAGTAATAGTAGGGATTGAACTTTCCAGAGCTAGATCCCTAGTGCTTTATTTTTTAAATCGTGCATTAACTTTCTTTAACTGAAACTTCATCCAATCAAATTATGCCTCAACACATGCAAATGTACCTTTGGTGAGTTCACAACAGTTGTCTGTAACAGATCCTTTTCGTTAGTTTTTCATATGCATGTAGAGATTTAAGGTTAAAGATAGAACTTACTGTTTTTTTTTTCTTTTTTGTAGTTCTGTATTACTTGTACCCTTACACTGTTTTGTTTTGTTCTTTATTTTTCTCTTTTTCCTTTTAAATAAAAAAAAAAGAAGCAAAAGTATCAAATTTCATGATCAGATTTAAAGTTTTAGATGTTGTGCTTGCAACTACCCTGTAGGAAAAAAGTAAATTATACTTTGCAACCATCCATCAACACTTTGTGACTTCAAACTGTAATCATTTAATTTTTTTTGTATAATTGTGATTTTGGCTGGAGTTCAAAGAATAACTTATCTTTTCTTTAAGCAGCATGAACTCTGTTACCTTATTATCATTGAGTACCACTTTCAGCATTGTTAATTTAGAAGGTGAGAGAGTTAATGCTGGCTGCTGGTTGGTGTTCAACCAGGGCGATGGGATAAGCCTCTCATAGGCTGTTTGCCCTGCTCACAGCAAGACAGTGAGTTTCACACAAAACACTCTCCTAGAGAAGAAGGCAGAAAGTGTGATGAAATAGCTCTGGATTTTCCAGTGTCACTTCTGGTGTAGTCAAGCTTCTATATTCCTTAAGACGTAGAAATCTTCTCTACCTTCTTATTGGAAGAAGGTTCAAGTCCCATAAGAAAAAAAAATTAATTAATTAAAAAAATTGTATTGTTGGAGTTTTTGAAAAGTTAAGTAAGCCCTAATACTGGCATCAAGTTTTTATGGATTTTTCCACATTACTGTTTTTAATTTATTCTAAACTTCTAGTGGCTCAGATTGGAGATTGTTTTGAATTTCACGTTCAGATTGCTGTTTATGTATATCCCTCTGTTTCATTTTACTTTTCCCTTTCCTATTTTGTTATACATTCTGGTGTAATTTCAAGATATTGACTGACAAAGCTAGCTATTTATGTCAGCTAGACAGGATGTGTTGACTCTGCATATTTGCAAACTTTCTTGAACTAATTCTGCAAATTCCGAGTGCTTTGACACGTGCTCCCCTTTTGTGTTGATGTGAAATTTTCTATCAGTTACTTCAGCAGTGTTCATAACCTCACTATAATCCATGCATAATTTTCCAGGTCTGAAAACAATTTCAATGTAGTCTACTACAGTATTTAACTCATGATCTGAAATATTAAAAAATCGTTTATATTAAAAATGTAATGAACTGTTTAGTGATGAATTTATTTCATAAATGTATATTACATAATTTTTATACTACTGAAAATCCTTCAACAAAATTTTATGTTTTTGTAAATACTAAGATTAATTATATGTTGAATATATAAATAGATAAATCTGGTGTTCCAAAGGTGTTGAGTAATTGGAAATCCTCTGTTATGTATTCATTATTAATTTGATAAATATCTACTGAAACTTAATATATGCCAAAATCAATACTAATTGAGTGACCTAAGCAAATAGGGTGAGATAAAATCATTCTAAAAATATGTGAATTTATTCTCAGATTCTGAATCAAAGCTGTTATTATCCCTATAAGGTTTAGGTATTATTAATTAGGAAATATTCTGTAGACTTTAGGATACAGGATGTATGGCTTCTAAAATTCTCTATCTTTTATTTAAGAATTGACCAAAAGATGGTACATCATTACAATTTTATTCAAATTAGAGTGATCATATACATTTGATTGTTTGTTTTGTTAGTTGACTAATGTTTGTAGAGTAATTGATCTCTGAATGGAAACACTATCACTATGACATTTATCCTTGTGTTTACTCTATGTATCTGTCTTGAATGACTTTAACGCATGGCTTTTGGTACTTAAGGTTAGCTTCCTAGGAGGCATGGAAATCTCTTGTGCTCCCTCTTTTAGCCTTCTGGTATGGTTTATAACGCCTCATGCCATGGTAAGTGGGACTTTGTGGAGGTGATTAAGTCATGTGGGTGCTGTGCTCACGGGTGAGCTAGTGCGCAGCTGCTGAGTTTACAGGGAAATGTGATATTAGGAGTTGGGATCTGATCAGAAGAGGAAGGTCCGGGAGCCTGGCCTTGAAGGTTCATCTTCTGCCCTCCCTTTGCTCTCTTGCCTTCCTATGCCCCATTCCCTGAGCAGCTCTCTCTGCCAGGCTCCTCTTCATGTTACCTGTGGACTGAATGAGCCCAAATGAACCTCTCCTTCTTCACCTTGTGGGTATCCAGCATTTTGTACCAATGATGAGGAAATCAATTACAACCCCCTGGATTAAATTCAATTATTTGTAGTCACAAATATCTCCACTAGAGTCTTTGTCATAAAGTGGTTTCGTTTTATTGTAACTATCAAAGATAGTTATATTGATTTGTCTATGGTGCCCTCTCCCTCAAGGAAGCTTTGTCATTTATTAGAGAAATGGTTTTGATTATTGATGATCTATATTTATAATTTTTTCTTGGTTCATAATCTCATTAAATGTATTATAATCTCAGAATTTCTCTTTCTCTTGGCTTATAAAACTGCTGGTCTTTTTCCTTTCCTTCATGGCCTTGGGTTTATCTTCTTCAAACTCTGATGGCTTTTATTCATACATTTTTTATGGATACTACTTGCATGACTTTTTGGGGGTGGGGGCAGGATCTCACTTTATAGTTCAGGTTGGTTTTGAAGTCCCTGTGTAGTGCAGGCTGGCCTCAAACTCACTGTAATTCTCCTGCCTCAGCCTCCTGAATGTACTACCACATCCTGCCTCTGTTAATTAATTAATTTTTTTATTTGGGATTCAACTTTTTTTTTCCAGAGCTCTATCTTTTGAAGATTTTTTTTCTCACTAAGGCTTATCTATGTATACATTGATAGATCTAATTTAAATTGATGCCTGAGTTTCAAACACATGCATATTTCTTAAATTTTTCTGAATTTTTTTAACCAAATTTTTCCATAGAGTTTTGTCCTTTTTAACTGTATTCCAGTATACCTTCTCTTGCTTTCAGGTT